AAATCATGGACACACCGTTTATATGATGGAATAATTGACAATTTTTAAACATGATCTTACTTCTCCAGGAAATGCACTAAGCCCAAAATCAGAGATTTTAAGATTTCCTTGGGAATCAAGCAATAGATTTTCAGGCTGCAAGAAAGTAAGACATTAAACATACAGCTCAGGAATAACTATGAGATAATTACATAAAGCACGCCTGAGGTTTACCTCAACTGAGGGCGAAAAACAGGAAAAGGAAAATATGCAACATAAAACTGGAATTATTTTTCTCCAATAAGGGAAAACCTCAATAGTAGGATTTTGTATTAATCCGAAATAAATACAATGTATAAAGTTAAAAAGACAAACAAACAAAAAAGCCAAAAAGGAACACCTTTAAATCTCTGTGATAGACTCCCTTACTGTGGCAATAATCAACACCATCAATAAGCTGCTGAAAGTATCTTCTCGACTCAGATTCACTAAGCCGGCCATGGTGAACCTGCCAAGACATTTATTAATCATATCTAACAAAACTAGGCTTCTGATCATTCACAAAATTCTTTCACAAAAGAGCAAGTTATCTTAGCAATGATACTCACAATTTTATCAAACAATTCACCACCTGTGATGAATTCCAATATGATGTAGATCTTTGTGCGGCTTGCAATAACCTAACGGCAAATATTTTGAGGCAATTGACACATAAAAAGAAAAAAATAAAATCAAGACCAGATATCATTAGCAAAACACACAAAGCATATAGTCTTGATTTGGAGCCTCACCTCATGCAAACGGACAACATATGGATGTCGAACACGTTTCATAATGGATATCTCCCTCTTTATCTGCAAGATAAAAATGACAACAAATTATTCAGCGTAAAAGTTCTCCAACATGGTTTTTACCAGATATACAGTTACGATCTTTTAACTGACGTAGTTCGGAAAACAACTATCTTCAAACAGCTGATTTGGATCGCACTAATTTATTGCAATATAATCTCATATACTGTTGATTAAAATTTACATAGAACAGCATAAAACCTCTAAATGAATATTCTTGTGCTTTCAGCCATCATCATATATGTTCACTAAAACTCCCATGTTCTGTTTTGAAAAAAAAAATAATGTACTAAAAATACTACAAAAAAACAGGAGAGAAATAGATTGTTTATTTGGGAGAAAAAAAAAATCAGAACAAAATTTCATTTAGATCAACTCAATCAAACCCATCTTCCGCACCTTAAAATCCAGCCAAAAATAGTAAGTTGCACTAATAAAACAAAATAAATAAAAACATACGCTCATACATTTCTCACAGAAAATTCAAATGACACACATATTTTCCACCATCAAAGTCAAGCTCAGAAATCAGAAGCGAACCTGATCGACCATCTTGTGCTTAATAATGGTGGATCGATCGAGGACTTTCATGGCGACACTCTCACCCGTCTCCGTATTTTGCGCAAACTTCACCTTCGCAAACGTCCCTTCCCCAATCGTCCTCCCCACCTCATACTTCCCCACCTTCCTCACCACCATTTTTACTGCTCACAACAGAAAGCGCATGCTCTCGAGCATATCGCAAAGAGAACTAACAACAGTTTGCAATCCAAACCTTTTAACCATCAGAAGGAGCAAATCCGATTTTTTTAATAGTTAATGAATCCTTTCGGGGATAAGGGGACAAGCAAGTAGCCAATTCTTAGGAAAAGGGTTTCACAAAAGCAATAAAAAATTCGAATTGAACAGTAGAAAACTTGGGGGGATTTCACAAGTGGTGTTGGGGGATTAGTTTTTTCGTAAAGTGGAAAGTGAAATAGCGCACTGAGATTTTGAAAGCAGCTGTACAATGGAGTGCGCTGAGGAAAAATGGGGTTGGTTAATTATAATAATACTCCACCACCTTTTGGACATATTCCATTTTCTTTTGCTTTTCTTCACTCTCTGCACTAATGTTTTTATGTTCAAAAACGCAAACCCGCTTGAAGAATTTTCACACGGCAGCGGCGGGAGACTCCGCCTGCTAACAGGAGTTATTATGGCGGAGGTGATTACCTATTACAGACGATGACAAATGTTTCAGATGATTGCCAACTCCATCTATGTACAGAGGTGTGTGTTGAGGTGTTTATTCCTGATTTGCTAATTCTTGATACATATATTTATTTTCTGACTCACAAACAGATATATTACGCGTAAACCAACCAACCAAGCAACAACTTTTAACATGTCACTGCTAAGAGGGTGCATGTTATAACTTTTTCCCAACAAAATCAATCTCTAACACAAATCTAACTCAAATTTAATTTAATTTCATTATATTTAATATTATTAATATAATCAAACAATATAAATCAATCATTCATACACATCACATCAACTTTAATTCATTATTCATTCACTCACATAATTTTACTATCCATCACTTTTAATCACCACTTTTTGTCATGGACTTGCAGGAAATTGTGAATGGAGAGAAAGAGAAAATGGAAACGAAGGTTGAAGAAAGGGAAATGGTTGAGATTCAGACAAGCGATCGAGTTTTGGCTAAGGCAAGGAGAGGCTTCGAGGAGATGACACGTGGAGCCACAAAGGCTGTTGATTGCGTCTGAAAAGAAGGAAGATCCGTTGTACAAGTGGCGGATGCTTATTAATAGGAGAATTATGTATTTTTCTTTTATTTTGTTATTGTTAGAGTTTGTTACGCATATGGTAGTGTGTTTTACCCATGTGAGTGAAAAGAGCGGGCCATGGGGGCCAAAACAACATTAAATATCTGAAATGAATGGAGAAAATGGCAGTTTGTTATGCCAAATTATTCTCTCTCTCTCTCTCTCTCTCTCTCTCTCTCTCTCTCTCTCTGCATTTTCTCCACTCCTTCCTTCTCTCTTACTCTCTTCTCTTTCCTCATCAAAAAAATCCCAAAAAATACAGAAAAATACAAAAATTCAAGCTTGAACGTGACATTTGGTATCCAAAGTCAGCCTTCCTTGGAAGATGGCAGAAGGAACAAGACTGAAAGAGCTGCAAGAAGCTCAAAAGAGGATCGATCAATCACTGCAAAATGAGGCATTAAAAAGAGAAGCTACAGAAATTAAGCTCCAAGAAAAGATGGAGTCCATTACCTCTGATGTGAAGCATATCATTGAGGGCCTCAACATGGAGCTGAAGGAACAAAAATCGGATGTCAACAGCAAGCTGGAGCACATGGCAAACACACTAGCTTCCATCCAACTTCAGCTGCTCAACACAAACACAAACAATGACAGATCTCAGAATGAGGAGAATTCCATACTAGGTAACCCGAATTTATACTTTGGGCAGTACCAAAGTTCTGGTAAAAGCAGAAGCAATGAAATCCAAAACACAACACCACAGAACAATCAATTCACCAGCCCTCTACCCAAAATTGATTTTCCAAAATTTGATGGTTCCAACCCTAGAGCCTGGATTCTCAAGTGCAACAGCTATTTCAGACTTGTCCCAAACATATCAGAAACACATAAGGTCACACTAGCTTCAATGCATCTAGAAGGCAAAGCAGCTACATGGTTTCAGAAACTGAGCACCAAACACATTGAATGGGAGTGGACACAATTTGTGAAACTCATTTCAGCAAGGTTTGAGGAATTAAAGGAAAGTAAAATCATAACTGAATTTAACAAGCTTAGGCACACAGGGACCTATACTGATTATGTGGAAAAGTTTGAGGAACTAAAATCATGCATGCTGTTGATGAGTCATGGTGAATTCACTGAAGATTATTTCATTGCCAGTTTTATCAGTGGTCTTACTGAGGAGTTGCAAGCCTTTGTTCACATGTTTAACCCAAAAACCCTGCAGCAAACAATTGAACTTGGCCACAAACAATTGCTAACCCTTGAAGCTATCACCAAGAAAATAAAGGAATATAAAAAACCTTTTACCCAGCCATCACATACCAACCCTGTCAGAAATCAACCACCCACATACAGAACCCCTCAAAACCAAAACCCAAGAAACTAAACCAAACTCCTCACCACATCAGAAATGGCAGCTAGGAGGGAAAGAGGCCTATGCTACAACTGTGATGAAAAATTTGTCCCAGACCATAGGTGCAAGCAGAGGATTAATTATATGATCATGACTGAAGATGAAGAATTGGCTTTCTTACAAGCAGAGGGGGGTGACCATTTAAATGTGGAGATTGAGGACAACACTTTTGGGGAAACCCACATTTCCTTAAATTCATTGGTGGGGGAAGCTGGTCTTACCACTCTGAGGTTTCATGGATATTCTGGGGAGAATAAATTACACATACTAGTGGACACTGGGAGCACCCTTAGCTTTATAAGGGAGTCCACAGCACAACTCCTAGGTTGTGAACTTCAACCAGCTAAACCATTGATGGTAAGGGTGGCAAATGGTCAGAAACTAATAAGCAATTATGTGGCAAAGGATTTCACTTGGGAGATGCAAGGGCAAACTATGATCTACTCATTGAGAGTTTTGCAGAATGAGGGTAGTGATTTAATCCTAGGGGGTGACTGGCTCAAATCTTTTACTCCTATTGAACTTGACTATGAATCCATGACTGTGACCATCAACATTCAAGGGAGAAGGCTTAAGCTGCAAGCCTTGACTCAAGGGGTTGAATGCCATCTTATTTCAGAGCACACCTTGTTCAATATGATGAGTTGTGAAGAAGCAGATCAGATAGAGGAAGTGTACATTCTATCTATTGAGCCTACTGACAAGGTTAAGGAAGGATCATTGTCTTTGCTATTGAAGGAATATCAAGATGTGTTCCTAGAACCTCAAGGCCTTCCACCAGAGAGGGGGATTGAACACCAAATCCTACTTAAACCGGACAGTTTGCAAAATCAACAGTACCCCTACAAGGTGTCACATGATCAAAAGAATGTGATAGAAGGAATTGTTGAAGAAATGATGAAATCAGGAATCATCCGAAACAGTAAGTCTCCATTTGCTTCACCAGTACTCTTAGTAAAGAAAAAGGATGACACCTGGAGGCTATGCATAGATTACAGGTATCTTACTGGGTTAACCATTAAACATGATTATCATATACCTGTGATTGAGGAGCTGTTAGATGAACTACATGGTGCCACATGTTTTTCCAAAATTGACTTAAGGTCAGGCTATTTTCAAATATTAATGAAGGAGGAGCATAGATACCTAACAGCATTTAGAACTCACAGTGGTCACTATGAGTTTCTAGTGATGCCATTTGGGCTTTGCAATGCCCCATCAACCTTCCAATCTCTAATGAACCAGGTTTTCAAGGACTGCCTAAGAAAATTCACCCTAGTTTTCTTTGATGACATACTGGTTTACAGTAAAAATGAGGAAGAGCATTTGAACCATCTCAGGGTTGTCTTGCAGTTATTAAGAGAGAATTCACTTTATGCAAAGCAGAGCAAATGCAGTTTTGGGGACAAGAGTGTGGAATACTTGGGACACATTATCTCTGCAAAAGGAGTAGCTACTGATCCTAAGAAGGTGGAAAGTATGGTGTTGTGGCCTACACCTACTACTATGAAACAACTCAGAGGATTCTTAGGCTTAACTGGCGATTACAGAAGGTTTATCAAGGGGAATGGGGAAATCAGTAAACCTCTCACCACTTTGTTAAAAAAGGATCAGTTTATGTGGAACCAGAAGGCTGAGAAAGCATTCAACATATTAAAAAAGGCCATGGTGTCAGCATCGGTACTGTCACTTCCTGACTTTTCTCTCCAATTTTTCATAGAGACAGATTGAAGTGGCTATGGGATTGGTGTTGTGTTGATGCAAGGAGGAAAACCTATTGCTTTTCTCAGCAAAGCATTGTGCCCTAAGAATCAAGCACTATCAGTCTATGAGAAGGAGTTCCTTGCTGTTCTATTGGCAATTCAGAAATGGAGATGCTACTTGCAAGGCCACAAATCCATTATTAGGACAGACCAACAATCATTGAAGTACCTTTTAGATCAAAAGGTAGCTTCAACCTGGCAGCAGAAGGGCATTATTAAATATTGGGATTGGATTATGAAATCCAATACAGAAAAAGGAAGGATAACAAGGCAACTGATGCTTTGTCAAGGGTTCAAATGGGAACATCAGAATGTGCAGCCATGTCCTTAGTTGTGCCTAAGTGGGTGCAAGAAGTGGTGGAAAGCTATGATGGGGATCCTCTCCTAAAAGAGGTAAGGGAGAAACTCATTCTAACACCTGGAGCAGACCCTCATTACTCACTACAAGGAGAGATCATCAGATATAAAGGCAGGTTTTCCATAGGAAACAACTCAGAACTCAGACAGAATTTAATCTCTGCAATGCATGATTCTTCATATGGAGGGCACTCTGGCATACAGGGAACCTACATGAGGCTAAAAAGGGTTTTTCAATAGCCTAAAATGAAAGGAGATGTGACTGAATTTCTGCACAAGTGTGATATGTGTAGGACAAACAAATCAGACCATGATCCTACACCAGAGCTACTGCAACCTTTACCATACCTAATGAACCATGGACCCATATCTCCATGGACTTCATTGAAGGTTTACCTAAGTCAGGAGGGAAAGACACTATATTGGTGGTGGTTGACAGGTTGACAAAGTATGGGCACTTTATGGCCCTTGCTCATCCCTATACAGCTTCCACAGTGGCAAAGGTTTTTATGGACAACATTTACAAATTACATGGCATGCCTGCTTGTATTGTGACTGAAAGGGACAAGATCTTTACCAGCTTGTTTTGGAAGGAGCTTTTTAAGATGATAGGCATCACATTGAGTTTCTCTTCTTCCTACCACCCTCAGACTGAAACTGAGAGACTTAATCAATGCCTAGAGACTTATCTTAGATGCATGATTCATCACTCACCTAAGAAGTGGAACAACTGGTTGACCGTAGCAGAATATTGGTAGAATACCAATCACCACACTAGTCTAAAATCTACCCTTTTTGAAGCTCTCTATGGTTACTCACCTACATCCTTATCTATGAAGGCCTACTTGGACTCCCAAAACTATGATGCTAAGGAGTTTTTGCTAAAGAGGCAGCTAATGATGCAAGGACTAAGGGAGAACCTATTAACAGCTCAATATAGGATGAAAACTTGTGCTGACAAGAACAGAACAGAAAGGGAGTTTGCAGTGGGAGAATGGCTTTACCTGAAATTGCAGCCCTATAGACAGAACTCAGTGCAAATGAGGAAGAATCTCAAGTTAAGCTCTCGTTTCTTTGGACCCTACAGAATTGTTGAGAAAATTGGTAAGGTAGCTTACAAGCTAGACCTACCAGAGGGGTCAAAAGTTCACCTTGTATTCCATGTGTCTTTGCTAAAGAAGAAAATGGGGGAAAAGGACTTATCTGCAAGTCAATTGCCGACTGTTGGAGATGATGGTCTTTTCAAAGCAGAGCCCACTGAGGTCTTGGGAAGGCGTAGTATACAGCGAAGGCGAGAAGAAATAACACAGATCTTAGTGGCTTGGGGGGACAAAACCCTAGGGATCAATTCCTGGAAAGACGATAAGTTCATACTGAAGAAATTTAGGGATTTTGATCCTTGGGGAGAAGGATCCAAAAATTGGGGAAGAAATGTCATGGACTTGCAGGAAATTGTGAATGGAGAGAAAGAGGAAATGGGAACGAAGGTTGAAGAAAGGGAAATGGTTGAGATTCAGACAAGCGATCGAGTTTTGGCTAAGGCAAGGAGAGGCTTCAAGGAGATGACACGTGGAGCCACAAAGGCCATTGATTGCGTCTGAAAAGAAGGAAGATCCGTTGTACAAGTGGCGAATGCTTATTAATAGGAGAATTATGTATTTTTCTTTTATTTTATTATTGTTAGAGTTTGTTATGCATGTGGTAGTGTGTTTTACCCATGTGAGTGAAAAGAGTGGGCCATGGGGGCCAAAACAACATTAAATATCTGAAATGAATGGAGAAAATGGCAGTTTGTTATGCCAAATTATTCTCTCTCTCTCTGCATTTTCTCTACTCCTTCCCCTTCTCTTACTCTCTTCTCTTTCCTCATCAAAAAAATCCCAAAAAAATATAGAAAAAGACAAAAATCCAAGCTTGAACGTGACACTTTTCTACTTTTACATCAAAACAATTTTAATTATTTTATATTAACTATCATTTTAATACAAACTCAAAATCTCACTCTAACTTAACTCATTCAACTTTTTCAAAACTAACTATGGTTAACCAAAAAACTCAATCAAAACCAAAAAAAATTATAAACAAGCATGCCCTAAAGGTTTTTCAAAATTTTTTTTTTTCAAAATCATAGAATGTATAACTTTCAACGCAAATATGTACTAAGTCCGTGAGCTAACTAGCTCAAATCTACTTCCAAGAGGAAGAAAGGGAGGAAACACACTAGACAACATGTGCCCTAAAAAAAGAAAACTAAAAGAAGTTGGAGACTAAGGACAACGAAGTGTTGCTTGATGGTAAGACGCTTTACCTATGACCGATAAGTCATGGATTCGAGTCACCGAGGAGAGGAAGTGGGAACACTATTGATTGTCCTTTTAAAAAGAGAAGTTGGAGACTAAGGTTTTGGCAGTGGCTAGTTCACTAGTGCACAGACAACCAAAATCCAGATCTTCCCGGCCACTTCAAACCCATAACGTGTAGAGCCTAACAACTATACTAACTACCATGCACCAAAGGGTTTAGCAGGTACCCCATAAAAAACAAATAGAATCTAAGAAAAAACCAGCTACCAAAAATAGAAAGAAAGCCAACAGAGAAACACAGCCAAAAGACAGCTAAGGAAAAGGAGAGTTTAACTCAAACAGCATAATTCAGTCCATTCTGAAACAACAACATCCACAATGGATTTTTCATTTCTCCATGTGTTTTAGAAGAGCCAAAGGTTTCTGGTTTTCCACATCCACCATAACATATAGGTTGAGAGTTGGAATCTTGCTTCAGAAGTTGCAATTTTGTTGAGGGAGCACAACTTAGTCCACCATCCTTTAAAGCTATGAGTTTATGAGTTTAGTCCATCCTAGTTAAGAGGAGCTAGCTTCCAAACCAGCTGAGCCTTCGGGCAACTGGTTTTTTTGTAGTTATTTGTTGTGTTGTTTTGTAAGTGTATGTTGTCATTTTTATTCTCCACTTTAGGAGCATGTATTCTTCCATTTGGGAGTGTGTATTGTCCACATGTGGCAGTTTTTTAGTTTTCATATTGTGTTCTGGTATTTAGGCTACCTTTGATAGGCAAGGTAGACCTCCTTATTTCGGCTGGTTAGCCGCTTGTAATTATGTGTTTTTATCATAATTTTTAAATTTGGGCCAGGAATTGACCCAGACAGGTCTGCGGGTCGCCGGTTCAATTACCAGGTCGCCGTGTCAAATGCTGAACCGGATAATTATTTTTAAAATTTTTAAAATTATTTAATTAGTATTTCTATCATATAACTACATATAACAGTAACAACAATAAATATTTTGTATATAAAATTTTAACATCAAAGTGTTATTAGTAGTGTAACTCATAATAAATATTTAGCATGTAAATATATATACATTTTTATTTTCAAAATAAAAATTACTTTTAAAAAACAAAAAAAAAATGATTTATATTGACCAGGTCAACCGGTTGACCCAACCAGGTCGATACTCAAGTCAACAGGGTCAAGGCCGAGTTGACCGTGTTTTGACCGAGTCCCTTTGTCACTCGCTCCAAACCACCCACACGGACCAGTTCCGGCTCTGGGTCGGGCCGGGTTGAAAAATAATGATTTTATTAATGAATCTATCTCTCCGGGAAGGAATAACAAAAATAAAGGAGTGTTATGAAGATCTCAACCACCGTATTTAATTATGCGTGAATGACTATTTCGCTCTTGTTGTAACTATATTATTATGATCGGTGCCATCAAAAATATTTTCATGCTTTTATAATAAAAAATATACCAAGAAAATGCATTCTCTTATTTTCTCTTTCCTCTAGTTTTATAAGAATAAAAACATAAAAAATGCATATATACACATATGGATGTATTTGAAAGCACCAACAACTTCAGAGTTTAGTGGGATCTGTGTGCTCAATTGATCATAAAGAAGTTGATGAAGCTAGAATACAACTAACCACATACATCTTGTGGTGGTTGTGGAAGCCCCGCAATCTTTGGGTCTTTGAGGAGGAGTGGCTACCAGTGCATCAAGTGGTTAAAGCAGCAGACAAAGATTGGAAGGAGTTTTATTCTTAGCTAAGCAAAAACCGGTGAGACTGGAGGAGAGGGGGTCTAGGTTCTTTTCTGGTTTCAGTGGACACTCACCTTCAACACCACGAGGTTTCTCTTTGCTTAGTTGGTTAGTTTGTGTAGTGGGTCAGTTGATGTAGTCTCTGGTTCCTTGTGATTTTTGTTGTGGGTTTGTTTTGGTGTTTTAGTGGTCTTTGCTTGGTAATGTTAAGGTCTCAGCTT